TATATTTTTTAAAGAAATTATTTTGCATAAACATGATCCAATATAAAAATATTTTCAGTGTACATTTGAACCTTGTGTGTGTGTGTGTGTGTGTGTGTGTGTGTAGGACAATGTAATACGATGACAAACGAAAACGCACATAAAGGAAGAAAAACAGCTGCATATGCATTTCTCCAGAGGAGTCACTGTCCTCAATGCCAAACCAGAGAAACATGGACCTGGAGAGCAAGGTGACATTGATTAAACCACAGAAATACAGTAAGCTGGAGATAAACATTGACCTTCTCTACATCTCTTTGTATTACATTTGAACAAGTGACTGTGCATTTTGTGTGTTAAATTCAAATAGGAGGGATAGGGATGTTATAATGTGGTATAAAATGTTTACAAATAATTATTATTGTGACATTCATCCGGGTTCTCATTTAAGATTCATGTGCATCTGTGTCTGGATGTCTATGTAAGGAACATGCGCTTTATTTATTGTTTGTTTGTTTGTTTGTGAAGTGGAATTTGTTGTTGGAAAAACAGAATAAAATATAACAAAGTAATTGTCTGACAATTAAAAAAATTTCTAAAAAAACAACAACTTTATATTAATTGGTTATTACCAAACGTAATAATGGAGGGAAATTATGCATATATACAAATGAAATAAAATGCATTTTATTAAAATTGTAACAAAAAAATGTTGTCATGACCAATCCGCTAATGAAACAGAAATTGAAGGATATAAAAGTGATGAATCTTACTTCTCCTCCGCCAACTGTTGTTGATATTGCTCGAACTCTTCATGTGTCATTCCCTTCTCTGCAGCTTCTGACTTTTCTCCTTCTGCTTTTTCTTCTGCTAGACCCCCGGTAAGATCCTTCAGCTGCCCTCCTATCATGTGTTTGAACATAAAAGCCATAGTTTTGTCTGTAGAATAGGCTACAGATATTAATCGCCTGCTTTGTGGATAAGATGTCAGTCACTTGAGAAACTCTTGCTTAGTAATGTCTCGTCCAACTATTGAGAAGAAAACAAAGACGCCACAACGACAGTCGATGTTTTTCTTTCTTCAGCTCAATTCAAGTTTCAGCACCAAATATTCATGACCTGTACAACGCGGAGGAATTTGCTCTCTCTCTCTCTCTCTCTATTTATGAAGTAACGCGCGACTTCTGATTCATGAGGCTTCTGCTTACATGACTGAAGGTGAGGCTCAAAAACAACAACAACAAAACAATATAAAGTATACTTTTTAGTGCATGCTGTAGATATTATACATAGCCTACCCTACACAGACACGTAGTATGTAGGCTATATTCTATAAACCGCCTCCACTTCACAAGATCCTACAATAATTGAGGCACATATATACAGAAATGTAGACATCAGATGTTTTTAATCTTTCATAAAATTCTATAACATGGCCTAGGTCACACTACCTAGTAGTTTTGTTGTAGATGTGGACACTGTTTGTTCTGGATTTATGGCACACACTGCCTAGTAAGTTATGCTAATTGTTATAGTGCGCTACACCTAGTGTTCAAATTCACAATATTTTTGACGATATGTTGCCGAGATTAAGTTATTTTTTCATTTACACCATGTACACAAGGTTCAGTGGGCAGTGAACTGCTGGTATAAGGCTCAATTTCAGAGCACTGACATGTAGAGACAGTCGTGCCAACAAACACAGGCATGTATGTAAACAGTACATACACTTGAAGAAATATGAATATAAAATATGATATATATAAGTACAGCATGGTAATACTATATATATTAAATCTTCTATCGGTGTCTTATAAGATGTTTCCATATCAGATGTATTTTGAGTAATTAAAAGCCCTTTAGAAATATTGACACTATACCTAAATTGATTAGCTACTTCCAATCAAATCTTTAGATTTGAACTATTAGAAGACATTTGTGGACAGAAAATCCTTTCATTGGTTTAGTTTGTGTATTTTTGAGACTGTGGGCTTGTTGATGAGTCAGTGTGAGTAATGATGAGCCGCCACTGTCACTTCTCTCCTGTGTTCAGCAAATCACAAGACTGCTCAAGTGAAACACCTCAGTCTGTGGCAACTAATTGTATTTCATACAGTGGTAGGCTCTGTGATTCATAACCATGCTAATGAAATTATGTGATTATAACCATGCTAAATAAAATAATATATACTAATAACAAAATTAATGTACTAATGTGTGTATAGTCACACATCATCATATTATATTATATTATATATATATAACAATGAAAAATTTATATTTAAAAAGCTAAAGGAACTTGCTTGGGACAAATTGATAAAGAACATGTTAAATATTAATTTTTCATTGTTATCTATATATTGTTTAGATAAATTGACAAATCGCTTATCTTCAAACATGAATAAAACATGTATAAATACATCCTCTTTGGATGATATGATGACCTTTCCCAAAGAGACCGGTGAGTCAACACTTTGTACCATTTGGAGGAATTTTAACAATTACATTTGCTGTGAACATTCATCTAGCTGAATCCAACTGCTTTCAGATGGAAATCTCTGATAACATGAGAGTTTATTCAGAGACGCCGCACTGAATCCATTATCATATATGTTTTAAACATGACCAGCTGCAATCTGATTTGTCCTCAGCAGTGAAGAACAAGAGACTATAATGAATTGCATTTAGCATCTATACAAACAGCAGAGACACTTTCCCAAACCTTCCACAGCACTTATATGAGGGTCAGCAATTCCTCAGATAAATGCCAGGGCATTGAGAAGATTTGTCCCGGCACAAAGACACATACCCTTTCAGCAGGACTCTGAATCACTGTACTCAAGTGGTCGCCGTGATTTTGCCAAGTAAGACATGTTCCTGGATCAACATCTTTTGTTGATCCTGGATCAACATTACTGTCCAAAAATATAGACTAAACCTAACCCTTCCCATAATTTATTCCTAAAATCAGTGTGAAATGATAGCTGATTACCAAGGGTGTAGAAGCACCCAACACTGATCGTAAGCCTAAAACAGATATTTCCTGAAAAGTTATCTCTGATTGGTTAATTGGACTGTTGTTCCAGGATCAACAAGGATGTTGATCCAGGAACATGTTGTACTTGGTGAAATCACGGTCACCGTACTCAAGTACCCTTCATGAGGCGCATTTCTGGCGTTTTGCATGAGAGGAGACTGTCAGAAAGGAAAGCATTTCGAGGACTCCACTTCTAGTGTTGATTGGGATTCACACTGGCATTCGAGCTCCCTTAGGCTGGGCGTGGGTGAAGGCCGGATCCGGGCCTGAGCCCAAATGTCACGGGAGAGATGTAAATGGGGGCTGACGAGCACTGCGGACGCTTCCGGACCTACAGCTGGAGGAACTTTGGTATTTTAGAGAATCAAACTTAGCATGTCACTTAATGTTGCTCTCTTCCGGCAAACGCATGAACTCTGCGTGTCACGGAGATAAAGACTGAAGAAACGTACCAATCATTGCTGCTACTGACTGCTGGATGCTCGTATTTCGTTTTTTCCCTCATAACGTGAGGTCAGAGTCGTTTCCTTTAAACCAAGCCATTGAATTAAACTCTTCTTACTGTCCCTTGGCAATGTCTTCCAAATAGGCCAGAAAACAGAGCAAATGGTGACACATGCATGGTGACATCCACAGTCAAGCGTTCTGGCGTGAAGCACACAGGACGCCCGAGGGGGAAGCTGAAGTCCCGTCTCCCTGACTTACCTCATTCTTCCTTGTTGAACGGGGAAGCTTGTGTGCTTGAAGTCTGAATAAGAATCTCAGGGATCTCGGTTTTTAAGGGGAGGAACTACAGGTGGTTTAGTTCCCTTTTCCTTTCACATAAATAGAAAATAAAAAAATGAAACCAACAAATACCCATATTATAACTATGCAAATTAAGCATCATCTTAGTATAATAAGCAATGAGTTCCAGTAGCAAATATGCATATTTGCATGCTCTGTAAAAAATTATATGATCAATAAGTCATGTCAACTTATGTTTTACATTACTGTAACTCAAAAGTTTTTTTATAAGTTCTATGAAATTCAACTTAAGTTGATTTAATGCAATATGAGTTCAAATGACTTGTACAACCAAGCTGATTATACAAAACAAAACCATATAATATATATATATATATTTATTATTATTATATAATTAGAAATTGAAAAATCTATAAATTTGATATATACTTAACACACCCACACATTTAAAAATCTATACCAATTATTAAATAATTGCTATTTTTAAATTGAGTATTTCGTTTTATTTTTTATCTATATATTTGAGATAATATTTCATAAAAAAAAAAAAGAAATGTTCTGTTGGCTGTTTTTTTTCCTAGTAGCTTTCAAATATTGTACAAATAAAAAGTGAAATATTTCCAGAATGATAATTTATAAGTAGTAGCAGCTCACCGTAAGAAACCAACTCAAATATTTGTATATCAAAAATGGAAATGCAAACATTTCTCTGTGTTGATGTGTTTTCATTCCAGTGCTTTTGTTCACCAAAGGTAGATTCACCTTCACCGAAAACCACAAATGCAACATTTCAGTGGTTCAGGTTTCGTTCTAGCTGCATGCTCATGAATCCTCCTCTTCTTGATATCATGTTGCTGACGAGAAACACGCACCGAGCAGAAATACAGCATCCTGTAGATAGACCAGAGAACAATCCCATCACACCCTGATGGAGGAGCATGTGATGCGACTTTCAAAACATGTGACATATGCCAAGCGCATCTGCAGGGCATCGGGATTATTATTACCATTGCACATACGCGTGTCAAAACCTTATGGGGAAAATCTGTCACGTGTCATGACTGTTTGGGTCAATGCTAAACGGGCAGAAGCTTGTATAGATGACGTGTTTCCTCTCTTGGGTGCATTTAGAGTTTCCTTGACTGACCTTTAAATTGAAAGACAGTACAGTTACATTTAAACGCACAAACACACATTCAAAGCTTTGTGGCAGCCTTTTTATTTTTTTGTCTTTATCTTTTGTTTTTATCAAACTGTTCGGGTGGAATGATTTTTTCTGAAATATGGCAGCAAAGAAAACAAATATGAAAAGTACTAAAATAAAATGTAGTCCTTCACAAAAGTCAACATACATCACAAATATTTCTCAAATCTGTATTTGTGGCCTTTTTGTATAATTTCTCCGTTTTATTATTTTTAATTAAAGCAATCCGGCTTCCACACAAGCCACATCTCTTTTTAAAGGCTCACAATGTTTCTATTCATCCTTCCTGGTTTTGAGGCTCAGACTGACGCATTTTTGAAAAGATGAGCAAGACAGCAGGAAATTCAAGCGCTTCTAAACAACATATTAAAAAAAGACTTCTGGCGTAAAGGCACTGTGAAATGGAAGAAAGATTATCTGGTGGATTTCATTGGCTGCTGGAACGGAAAACAGTGCGGGATGAGCATACGGTCTCCCTAAGTGCCAATTATTGTTATTGGTTACAAGATTTTGCAGACAACCAGCCTTATGGGTGCCATCATATAGCATTTCTCATGATATTTATTGACTGATGATTTTTCTCTTTTTTTGGCAGAAAATCCTATATGCTAATCAAAAGTCCAAAATAAGGGAGTGTATGAGGACATATCAGAGGAGGCTGAAGATCTTCTAAATCAAAAAGAGGTGAGTTGTTGTAGAGAAGGCCAGCCTCCCCAAAATTAAGAAAATCAAGCCATGAAAGCGATGCAAAGTAGAAAAAAAAGGGAGTGCACTTGCAAAAGAAAATTCTGCTGATGTTTTTCAAGTCCACTGCTTAAAGAGTAGATTTTGGTCAGACTGTATGAGAATGGTCCCGTGAAGGTCTTCCTCTGTGTTTTTCCTCTAGTTTTTGTCTTTTATCGGTACAGCTCATTGGCTATGATATCTTGAAGTTTCTGACTCAGTTCTCTGAAGCTGGGACGTGCCACAGGGTCCAGAGTCCAGCACTGCTTCATGATGTCATACACCACCGCCGGGCAGCCGTCTGGGGCGTCCATCTTATAACCCTTCTCTACGCGTGGGACAACTTCCTTCAGAGGCTGAACAGAGGATGAAGGACACCACAACTTAGCAAAAATGTGCTGAGGTAGACAACAGTGTCCTCTACTGGTAGAATTTGCCTTGATACTAAAATATAGTTTTAATTAAAATAACATTACAAAATGCATTAATTATAATATCCCAATTATTTTTATTTAATTTTTTAAAGATTATTTTAATTTAAATTAGATGATTAATAGTAAAACTGTAATAGTAGTAATGATAATAATAACATCAAATAAATAAAATATAATTATGATATAAAAATGATCACAAATGTATTTTTATTGGTAATGTTTCTGCTTTGAAGTGACTTGAGTATTAATATCCTATTTTAGTTATTTTATTTTAAATTAGATTGTTCTTATTATTTTTATTACTACAACTGTTATTATTATTTAAAATAATAATTACAAATGTATTTCTTATTGGTAAAGTTTCTGCTATAAGGTGACCTATTAGCTTAAATAAATAAAAAATAAAAAAGTATAGATTTTAATATGCTATTTTACTTTAAATTAGATTATTGTTCTTATATAACAACAACAACAACAATAATAATAATAATCATTTTAAAAACTACTTTACTATTACCGTATTTTTATTGGCCATGTTTCTTCTTTTTTTGTGGCTTGCATGTATTATATTACCATCCAATTTAAAGTAATTATTGAAATCTAAATTTAAAGTGCCCCTATTATGGATTTTTGAAAATGACCTTTCATGCAGTGAATGAAAGCATCCTACATAGTTAAATCTGAAAGTGCACCATGTGTAAATTTATTGTCTCTCAAAAGAAAGAGTCGACTCTGAATAATTGAACAAGTCGTTTTTAAAACTAATCCCAAGCCTTTCATGTTGACATCAACATGAAACATTAGCATATTGCCCGCCCACTTGTTGGTCTTTTCGAGTTGGTCTGAATGAAATGCAAATTCATTCTTTGCCACTAGGTGCCGCTTTAGGAGCGGTAAAATAGCAGTTTCCCCGGTAACGCTGTACACAAAGCAGCACTGCTCTCACAAACGCTGCTTTATCAGGCATTACAGACATGATGAAATTAAATGAGACCAGTCGACCAATCACTGCAGATTAGTGTCACACAAAGGAGGGGTTTGGAAAAATGAATCGTTGAGCGAATCCTTTGGGAGTGGTTGAGCAAGTAAGGTAAAAATAAATGCATATTATAAG